CCCCGCGAGCGCGGAGGCGGCGCTGGTGGACGTGAACGTGTACCTGATCATCGCCATCTGCGCGGTGTCCAGCCTGCTGGTGCTCTCGCTGCTGCTGTACACGGCTCTGCGGTGCTCGGCGCCGCCCACGGAGGGCGCGTGCGGGCCGGGGAAGCCCGTGCTGGTGTGCTCCAGCGCCGTGGGGAGCTGGTCGTACTCCCAGCAGAGGCGGCAGAGGGTGTGCTCTGGGGAGGGGCCGCCCAAGACGGACCTCATGGCCTTCAGCCCCAGCCTTCCTCCCGGCCCCCTCAGCGGGGATACAGAAGAGCAGCTGAATGTGGATGTGGATGTTTCTGCCAAAGTGAGTAATTTTTAAAATCCTTTCCAGAATGTCTTTGTCTTTTGTTCCTCAATATTTCGACTCCTTTGGAAACATTTTACAACTTATTGCTCTACGTGTTTTGTAATTAGTTTTCCAGTTCCAGGTTTTGTGGTTGAGATGTTTAAACATCTTGTGACTAATGTTTTTGCACCAAATCAGCAAGAAGTGAGAACCATACTTGCAGATGCCCCCCCCCCCCGCAGTAGTTGCAGTAGCAGGATTATTTTTATCACTAAAGGTCGGATAGGAACTAAGTGTATTTTTCTGGATAAATTGCATTGTTTAGAATATTTTACTCCAAACGTGGTGCACAAATCTCAACTCCACGCTTCAACAGCTTTGGCCACTTTTCACTTGTAGTTCCCACTGGATTTCAGTCCAAATGTCACTGGCCCGTTTTATGGATCCACCCTGAATGCTTACCACCCTCTTTTTATTATGCTCTTATATCTCCCGTTTCAATATTAGTTTATTAAATCTGTAATCTCTTACTGAGCTTCTATTGCTCATTTATTCATTCATCTGGAATCTCAGTTCTTCTGCTCTACTTGAAATTAATTTCTTTCAGAACTTGTGCTCACATTTCACTAATGGGCATTGTTGCTAGTTTCCCAACTGGGTGAAAAATAAACAGAATAATTTTTGTTGCTTTAGAATTGTAATTTTGTTCATTCATTTTCTCACTATTTTTAATAGTAAGCATTAAGAAATCAATAGGAAGTGAAATTGTAACCTTCCCTTTATCTCATCATTTGGAAAATATTCTTTTTGAAAGAATATTATTAATCTTGTTAAGAATTATTATTTTCCATTTGAACTATTTGTTGAAAGTAATACTTGCATATAATTTAGAAACTATTATACTAAGAAACTTATTAATCACTACCATCTTTCACATACATTATTAAGGATGCTAATATCCAAAAAGTCCAGTAAGTCAATGCTATTGTTGGTGGTCTTCCTCTGAACACCAACCTGTCTATTAATGTGTGTCATGTAGGAAGTACAAAGCTCCCAATAACTTGCACCAATAAAGTGGAAGTCAGATTATTTTTTTAGTCATACCCTTAATTGATATTTGGTCATTTCCCCTAGCAAAGAGTTGGGCTCCCATTCAAGTTTCTTGCCACTGGAAACCAAAGCTTGGGCATATTAGAGACTAGAGAACTGTCTAGTATTTATAAATCTAGTATTTATAAAAAACAAAATGGAGAATACAGACCTTGCTCATGGGAGAGAAATGGGCTCCAATGAATACAATTATATGAAATAATTTCCACACAAGTTATCTATATACATAAAAGCCTAAGCAACTGTTACAACCGGTCGACTGAATGACTGGTTGACCCATCGCTATGATGCGCACTGACCACCAGGGGGAGGACGCTCAACACAGGAGCTGCCCCTCTGGTGGTCAGTGCGCTCCCACAGTGGGAGCGCCGCTCAACTGACCGACAGACCCCAGACACAGGGCTCACAGCTGGTAAGCGCTGCTGCAGTGGTGCAAGCCTCTCCGGATCCATCTGATGCGAGTCAGCGGCAGGCACAGCGGGGCTGGGATAAGCGAGAGCGGCAGGCAGGACTGGCAGGCGGCACTGCACTGATGGTTTTGCCAGTGGGGGGGCCACTCCGAGGGACCCCACCGGTGCACGAATCCATGCATCAGGCCTTTAGTATAATACAACTTTCTACCTCCTTGTTCAAGCTTCCTTGCTGAAACCTGGTTACCACCCAATTACATTGCAGGAGGGAGGCTAACATATAAAATAGTGAGACAATCCCTCTCTTTCTCCCTTTCATTTCTTTTTTCGGGCGCTATTCTTTGCTGCTCTCTATCTAGCCAGTATTAGTGACAACATTTCCAACCTCAGTTCACGATTTGTTTTGTTAGGCCGCGTTTTCATCCTGTCCTATATAATAAAAGGTTAATATGCAAATCGACCAAATGGTGGAACAACCAGTTGCTATGACGCACAGTGACCACCAGAGGGCAGACACTCAATGCAGGAGCTGCCTCCTGGTGGTCAGTGCACTCCCACAGGGGGAGTGCTGTTCAACCAGAAGCCCTGAGCTGGGCTCACGGCTGGCAAGTGCAGTAGTGGTGGAGGGAGCCTCTCCCACTTCTGCAGCAGTCAGACGTCCCCCAAGGGCTCCTGGACTGTGAGAGGGCACAGGCGGGGCTGAGGGACCCCCGTGAGTGCACGAATTTCGTGCACCGGGTCTCTAGTTATAAATAATAGGGTCATGAAAAGTTCTTGTCTCCCAGGACAGAAGTCTTCAAATCAAGCTCTCCTCTTCAAATTACTAAGTTCTCAGCTAATAAGACATTTTAAAGACTTGTGAGTTTTTCTCTTTAGGATGTATTGCTGCTATACCAGGTGAATTCCAAATAGTGTCTATTCTGTTGCATTCTCATCTATGTATTTAATTATTCTGCAAAATAAATGGACAGAGAGTTCTTTTCACTTTCTTCCAGTATGTCTGACACCCATGATCACAAAGTACAAATCTGCAGTTTGGGTCCTTTAAACAGTGAAACCACTCTGATTTAAGTGTTTTTAAAAAAACATATTTTTATTGATTTTAGAGAAGAAAGGAGAGGGAGAGAGAGATAGAAACAGCAATGATGAGAGAGAGACATTGATCAGCTGCCTCCTGCAGGCCCTACACTGAGGAATCAAGCCCACAACTCATGCATGTACCCTGACTGGTAATCAAACCGTGACCTCCCACTTCATAGGTCAACACTCAACCACTGAGCCATGCCGGCCAGACTGGTTTATTTATTTATTTTTTAAATGTATTTTTTTTATTGATTTCAGAGAGGGAGAGAGAGATAGAAACATCAGTGATGAGAGAGAATCATTGATCAGCTGCCTCCTGCATGCCCCACACTGGGGATTGAGCCCACAACCTAGGCCTATCGAACCCAGGACTCTTCAGTCCACAGTCTGACGCTATATTCATGGAGCCACACCAGCTAGGGCTGATTAATGTTTTAATTCAGAAAAAAAATTGTGTCTGTGGTTCTTCATAGAAGGGAGACTAAAGCTATTTTCACTACATTGGTTTTGTTTTTTTTTGGTCCTAGACAATTGGACAACAAAGGGGAAAAGAGGTTTATGAACATAAGAGACAAAGAAAGTTTAAATGGCTACCAGCATGTCCTTCTATATTAAAATCCTTTGTGTCAGCAAATTATAGTGTGCTGTATTAATTGGTACTTATTCATTGACTATTAAAACTCAGGTGTCTCAAAGATCATGACTATGATCTGGAATGAGCCCTGGCCTGTTTGGCTCTGTGGTGGCTTTGCATGCAGACTGAAGGATCACAGGTTTGATTCTGGTCAAGGGCAGTACCTTGGTTGCAGGCTGGATCCCCGCTCCGGTACATGTGGGAGGCAACCAATCGATGTGTCTCTCTCACATTGATGTTTCTCTCTCTCTCTCCCCCTCCCTTCCACTCTCTCTAAGAATCAAAGGAAAGAATATCCTTGGGTGAGGATTAACAACAACAACAAAAAGAAACTGGAATGAAAACTAAGCTAAATCCAAGGTTTTCAACGTGGCAATTAATATATTAATTAGGGTAATGCCTAAGGATAACATATTTGTATCTCTGGAAAGTTATAGAGGCTGGTGAGACATCATATTTTCCTGACTAGCTATGTGACTACCTTAATTTAATGCATTTATTAGTCAATTGAAGAGAACCAGGTACATGTTCAGCAAATACTACTTAAGTATTCTGAGCTACTTAGACTATAAGACACAACTATTGCCCTTGCTGGTTTGGCCCAGTGGATAGGGCATCGTCCTATGGACTGAAGGGTTCTGAGTTCTATTCTGGTCAAGGGCACATGTCTGGGTTGCAGGCTTAAGACAGGTGATCAATGATTCTCTCTCATCAATGATGTTTCTATCTCTCCCTCTCCCTTTCTCTCTCAAATCAATAAAAATATATTTTAAAAAGACACAACTATTCTTTTTAAAAGTTTATATTTCAAAAAAGAGGATCAGACATACATATAAAAATATCCACAAAAGAGAAATTAATGTAATAAATGGTCCAAGTGATCCAACCTGGATGCTGTAGTATATAAAAGAAATTAAAGATGCCTGCCCAATTGATTTAATCATGAAAGTCTTCACTAGTCAAGGAAGTTTTAAATGATTATAAAATGGGGCAAGTTGCTTTGCTAAGAGTTTGGAAATGATGGCTGTTATTTAGACAGGGACAAAATGAGTATGTCTGTTTAGTGAAATATTTTGTTGGAAGCAGGAAAGTGACCACTTTGACTAAAATATATGAACAATATAGGAGAAAGTAGAAGTTTAGGCATATTAGACTTCTAATGGAGAATAGGCAAGTATATATAAACCATGAGACAAAATGAGAATACCAGTGTTGATCATGGTAAGTGAATGGGTTTCAGTGAATAATATTCTTTGGAATACTTTTTCATATAAATTATATACCATAACAACCAGCTTCTTTGTTAAAACTTCCTTGTCCCATCAGCCCTTAGATGATTTAAGGGAGACTTTCAATTAAATGCTGGCTTTTGCTTCCTTTTTTTACCATTTTCAAATTTCCCTTTCAATGGCTTATTCTTGGAATCTGAGGTTCCCTATTGATAGAGTCTCTGAAGACTTCACCACCCTTTTTTTTTTTTTTTTTTTTTTTTACCATTTTCACATTTCCCTTTCAATGGCTTATTCTTGGAATCAGAGGTTCCCTATAGATAGAGTCTCTGAAGACTTCACCACCTTGGAATATGAAATCCAAAGATGAAAGGTGTGTCAGCGTTAAGAACAACCTTCCTGCATTTTCAGGAACACAGGAATCCTCCCAACCACCACTTTACAAGTGTCTGTTTACAAAGTGTGTGTAGCTACAGTTGGGTCTCTGTAAATACTTAAACCCTGAATGAAAAAAGGACGTCCACGGAATTAAAAGCTGCCCCTTTGGTGAAACTAAGGATCACACTCAATCGGTGGCACAAATGTGTACCTCAGTCGTACAAAATGTGATTCTATTCTTCAGTAGCATCAAAGTAGGCGGGGAGGGCTGAAAGAACAAGTAAGACTTAGCAGCATAGAGTATGAATTTCCAGAATGGATTACTTACGGTTTGGAGCCACATGATGTCGCTCTGTACCATGAAATGATCTGAGAAAGGAAGAAAAAAATCCCTGCTATTCTCATTGTAAAGAAGCTGCATCCACTATCCAGGTGCTGGAAAATGGAGGATGCAGCGACGGTGGACTGAATGCTCGGAAGATATCTTTTGATTTTGAAATAAGATCCC